CCAATTTATGTTTATTAATCAACACCGTTGATCTCACATGATCTCAAGTATATATATATATATATATATGTATGTGTGTGTGTGTAATATTCAAACGAGAACACTAACTATTTAAAAAAATATCGTTAATTTACAAAATCAAATATGATTTATGAACAAAATCATATATGAGTAATACATATACATATACAATCACTTTTTGTCTTTTTTTTAAAAAAATTACAGACTACAGTCTACAATTCAAGGAATACCGGAGTTGACTTATTCGAAAGTAAAATTATTTGTAAGAATTATGGTAATAATACTCAAAAACTGTATTTGTGTTTATCTCACTTTCTTGGAGCAAGATTCTCCATGTAGAGAAGTTAGGGGCGTGGGAGGTGGGGGTTAGAAATAGTGGAAGTGGGAGATGATTATGGGGGCGTAGGTTATGTGCTTTGAAACTTGTACGTTAAGCTTAAAAATCTGAACCTCTTAAACATTCAAGATAATCGTGCTCTATTATAAAGATGTATAGATATAGATATAAGATTCAATATTACCACTCAAAGGCCTTTTACAATATTAGGTTAATACATATTTATGATATTTTATAATATTATTAAATTTAAAAATAATCAATAATGATATTATTGATGAAATGATTATAATATTATAATTTATAAATAAAAAAGTAATTTAAAAATTAAAATTGATTTGATTCTTCAGTCTTAACTCATCTACCCATCGTTACAAGCACATGCTTTGTACAAATTTAATTTAATTTATGCTTCTTCGTCAAAACCATACTGTTTTCATGTTTCCTGAATCATAAAATAAAATCCCACAAAAAAATCTACATTTGATGATTGGTTCTTATAAGATCTTTTGCATTTCTGTTTGAACTCAAGATCTTGATGATGGAGTTTGATTTGACTGTCTTTTCGAAATGCAGATTACGTACGCTTGGGCATTATGCTTCTTACCAATGGCGACTTGAACAACTGTGCTCAATACCATTTTACCAGGTTGGAAACCTCCACTGATATGGCTTTGTGTTTAGTGGTTTTGGGTTCCTTTTTAAGGTTTTTCTTGATTTTTTTGTCGCTAGCATTGGTGCCCATGAACTGTTTGTTATAATGTCAAAGTGAGTTTCATTTTTGTGATATTTGGTTTATGATGTCATATGTGTTAGTACAGTTTGCCAACTACATGTCATTGTGTCTGCAATTTTATGTAAAAATATAGTGTCAGGATTTTCATTTTTAATCAGGAACGTGTTTACAGCATAAGTTTACATCTCACTCCATTGCGGCGGCGCAGATACACAACTAGTTTATTAAATAATAAAACAGTTTTTCACCTTTGGATACACCATGTATTTGAAGAAATTGCTATGAAATGCAAACTATGAGATTCTACTTAGAATCAAGTGAGCACCAAACTGGGGTGGAAGAGTGAACACAGGGAAAGGAGAATGTTTGTAGGATGCAGAAAGCTCACA